TAAGCCACTATTGTTTGTGTCATCATAGCGTGAATAGTGAATGCCATAACTTTGGTCATGCAGGGCTATAGCTGCCCTGTGTCGGCAACCAATATTCTAGTGAGGCTCGTTTTAGTGGGTATTTACAAGCCACCTTCAGGCCACGGACAACTATGACGTCGATGACTCCTGCACACACCACTCTCTCATACCACAAGTCGCCAGCCGCTGCAGCGTCGGCCAGCCACACTACCAGCCGCTCCGCGTCCAATAGGCCTTCTCAGTACACAGAACATGTCAGCGATATTTCGTTCCGTTTTGAGCTGCATCAGATCACGACGCAGCGGCTCATGCTTGCCTAATGCGCCAGTTCCAGGAGATTGTCGTCCTCAGAAGGGGCTGATATGCGCGCCGCCGGGCCTGTTGGGGCCTGATAAAGCCGTCCGATCGCCTCCGGGCCGCCGCGCCGGCGAGGTGACTGCGATCCCGAGCGACGCCCGCCGCTTGTTTGGCCGAATGCCGCTCCTGGAAATTGTTTAGCTCAGCCGTAAACTCAGCCGTTGTTTGGCGGAACGAGTATTTAGGGCGACGTGTGACTGAAATGCTGTTTAGAGCGCTGTTTGGCTTGCGTGGAGGACGGCACATTTCGCATGGCTTCCCCATTGCTGCATGGTTGGACAGGGAGTTGTTTATCCGAAATAGCTGTCCCGATCTAAATTCAACGAGAAATGAATCGCCAGGTGATTCCTTAGTTTTTTCTTTATCGGCTGCTCTTCGTAATCAGCAACAGATTTGATGACCAACACAACGAATAGTGGACATATTTTGCAAGTCTGCTGCGGACATGCCAGTAACTGCATGCTGTTTCAAGTTATAATCAGGCAACAGAAGGTGTTTCCGTTCAAAGTCATCCATTTTGCAACGCCATCCCTAAATCAATAATGAAGCATTTTCAAAAGTTGGCATACCGATCGTTTCCTGGTTAATTAACTGTTTGCGTTAAACCGGCCTATTTGGAGTCCGGCCCAGCCTCCTTTGGTGTGTCAGCCGCACCTGACCTGAAGCCGACGGGCCGGGACCGACGGGCTGGGACCGACGCTTGGCAGTCGAACCAGACGGCACTGTAAATATTTAGCCGTGACTCGCTCACCTTCTGCTGCTGCTGCTGCTGCTATATGCTGCTGCTGACGCTAGCATGCAGGAGTGCTGCTGCTTCCTCTACCGCCTACCGCCTCTATCTCCTGATACATCTGCAAGCTTCAGCTAGAAATGCATGCTCCTTCCGACAAAGCCATCCATCTGGATTTCAAGTGTTCTGGTCGTCTCTCTGCCAGCTGAACATCAGGATTGCAGTCAGCTGCGACACGATTAGGCATTGCGGGAATCGGCCCAGCCAAGCCGCTGCAGGATCAGCGCCAGTTCAATAAATCCACAAGTGGACCAGTCACGTGGTCATAATGTAGGAAACAAGAGCAGCCTGACTGTTAGCTATGCGACAATGGGACGGTCTAAGGTGACCGAACTGGCAGCAACCAGGTGACAGTGGGGATAGCACCGGCGCGGAGGCCGCGTGGGGCACGACTCTGGCGTACCGCGGCACTGTCTGACGGTCACGTCCGGCCGCTGCTGGGCACGTGAGAGGTCACCAGAGGTCAGCTGGTTCGCGGCTGGCGTCCTCGACTTCCCCCCCCCCCCTCCCCCGCTCCCCCGGAGGTCGACTGTCGCGTATGTCGCTGTCGTCGGTGCACTGACAGTGTTTGTGTACGGTGGCTGGCGAGGCGCCGACGGGCACGCAGAGACACCCCGCCCTCCGCCCCCTGCCCCGCCACCCCCGACTGAGGCGAGTTATTCATAGCCTCAGAAGTGTGGCTGAATAGAACGAGCAGGCGAGGAGAGTTGCGGCGGGCCTCTGAGGTGTTGTGATGCAGTGCGGTAAATCAGTCAAAATTATGAAGGCTTGCAAAAGAAGATTCAGAAATTACGGGAGTCATTCACCCTTGTCACCACTGACCATAGAACACCTGCATATCATCCCATTGATAAGAACCTACTCTAATATGCAGAGCCACCACTCCTGCGTTATCACTTACCTCATCAATATCCGTACAGCATCCATGAAGTACTGAGCTCTTGGTAAGTAGTCAGTATGCCGGGATATTGCAGCTCTTGTGTCTGCAATTTCGAGAGCAGGGAACTGAAGGGGATGGGCTGAACAAAGACCGCCAGTGACCGGCGCTCCAACGCGTGCACACCCTCCCCTCCCCTCCCCTCCTCCCCCGCTCGACGGGAAGCTGCCCGCCAGACCCGTCGCCAGCCTTTTTGTGGGCCGGATGGGCGTTTTTGCCCTTCAGTGGCGCCAAAACATAGCGGGCGGCTGCAGCCTGCAGAGGCGCGCGCCGCTGGAGCTGCGAGGACGATCGAACGGCGGCTCAGCGGCTGACGAGCGGTGAAAGCAGGTCGAAATTCATGGTGTGCTTAAATCTTGACAGGGTGTGTTTCTCATTTAGAGTGCTACTGTTTTACATATACAGATCATCGACAGGTGGGATTATGGCTAGGGATCACAGGAAATATGGTATACAGCAATAGATGAGGGACGGAACGTGAACGCATGTTTCACGCAGCAGCTCGGCGAACTTATTCGAAGTGGCCACTGATGCTGTATGGTGTCCGTTAATTATGCAGCTCTGGCCCGCAATATGCGCCACTTCTCCACCGAATTCGACGGAGCAACGGCACGGCACCGTTGCAGTAAAGACGGGCCGACGTAATTAAAAGGTTACTTTCGGGAAATTACTCGGGCATCCGCTAATTGTCAGCGACGGACGACGCCGATGCATGAACGTTAATTAGTTAATGCTCTGGATCGTGCCTCGCTACCGCGAAAACCCAGAACGGCCGTCGGTATGTGGGGCGTGGGCGGTTTCGGTTTTATACATAAACTGGGTTGTTTTCTGCCACCACCACTACCCAGCGACTGTTGGGTTTGGACAAACAGTGGTGTCCTGTGCTTCTGTTACTGACGTGTTGAATGTGCCTGTGTGTGCTGCGTGCTGCTGAGTTTCGGTCGCCACCGACTGGGATATCAGGATGATCCCCTTCTGACGGATCATGCTAATGTAAATGTTTGCGTTGGGCCAACTGCTGTTTGTGAAATGGCCTGTCGCAAACTCTGGAGAGCGGAATAGACGTGCAGCGGCAAACAGAGTAAAAAAGAGCACGCATATTGCATCAAGCTTTATTAAATTCTCATTGATATTTACCAACTCCATAACTAGGCCTAAAAACGCGATTAGGTACATCAATGCCATTTTAACAAAGCCATTGACGCTTCATCGTCATACGATAACCCGAACATTATCGGAAATCTCGTCGGCTCCCGCGGTTCCTCTAACCTGGCATCACCGGGCCAGGTCACTAGCGGTCACTGCTCGTTTCATACGCGTGTCGTCAGATCGGTCACGTCCATGACGGACCTCCTGTGAGGTGAGGTGTGAGGCACTGGGCGGCGCGTGGGTTGTTTATTTGCGCGCCAGAGTGGCCTGTTGTTGTTGTCACAGACGCCCCAGAGGCGTGTCAGACGCAGGGGGCGTGCTGGACCGTCTGACACCGTAATGGATCATGGGCGGAGGGTGTGCAGAGGGACGAGAGGATCGGAGGGTGCGTGGCCGGGAGGGGCGCCAGTTCCTAGTCTAATGAGATTCGCAGCTGTCGGAAAATTTTGGTAGTAATTTTGTAATACCCAAGGACAGTGCGTAATTGGTTACTTTTATTTAATCGCCTGCACTTTGTTAGCACTTTGTTAACGACAACCACAACTGTGTTCATCACAATTACGAGCATAAGAAGTGACAATGCGTTTGACCGTTTATCACCTCGCAAATGTTTGCCCGTGTCTTGAAGTGCTTGGGTTCGTGGCGCTGTCGTTGCCATATTGTGTGTTTGCAGAGATTCGAGTCCCAGGGCCAGAATTTTGTATATCACTTTACACTTAAAGGGAAATGAATCCTTATAGCGATGATCTCTTTGAACACAACAGCAAAATAATAACGTTGCAGTTATTGCTTTCTTTGCATTTCACTTTGTTGTTGCCGGAGTATGCACCTGATAATGTTGATTCATGCTTGCATATCCTTAGGAATGCTCCTTAGAAGTTCCCCGAGATTAATTACGCCTTCATTATATCCTGGAAGGCCTGTGAAGAGTGCAATATTTCCTGGTTTGCCCGAACACAGGTTTCACCTTAAAGGATGGTTAAATCTGACGACTTTTGTATAATGTTGTGCGTCACTTTTGCTGCGCATCTTTGCCCAAAGTCCATCCTCGGCTGCTTCCAGCTAGATTATGATGACGCACGCGCAAATCAAATTAGTGAGCAGCATCGATGGACATGAGTAAAACGAGGGGATTATAAAGTGTCATATTTGTGTAAAATTAAACGGAATTATTTCTTTACGGCACAGTTTTCCCAGCACGGCCATTCTGCGCCAGACAGCGGACACCTGCCTGAGATCATGCTACACTATATGCTATAATTGCACGCATATTTCTGATGTTCTTGGTCCCTGAGTCCTAAGCATTTTACGGGAACATTCAGTGGGATCATTTGTGTCTGTGATTATCTAAGCTCATTTTTTACCAAATTTGCTGCAACAGTCGCATTCCAGCAAGGCATGGGTGAACTAAACCATCACTCAAAATGGAAAAAGTAAATGGTAGTAAACGGCTAGAATATACATGCCCACTTGCTGATTTGAAACGTTGCAGCTTGAAATGCAGTTGATTTGAAACCAAAGAGCTGAACTATGTAAATCAATCACCAGAATCGAAGCTGTCAGTGTTCCGTGAAAAGGCTGATGGCATCGATACCTCGCCTGGCTCAGTCCCCACTCCAGTCCGTTCCCACACCACTGCATCGTGCGGTAGTCACTCTGCAGCTTCCTCTCGGTACGCGGCGGTACGGCGCAGCCCCCTGGCGGTCGTCGCGGGGGCGGCAGCGGCGGCGGCGGGCGCCGGGACTTGCAGTGCCGGGCGGTCGGTCGTCGGGGTGGGTCGAATGGGGAGGTGTCCTGCCCGCAGGGAACTGAGGTTGTTTGTTTGCTGGTGCGAGAGAACTGCGGCTCAGCTGCTGTGAGTCGAGTGCAGGGACTGCAACTGCAGCTCGGCTGGTGACTGGGTCTGACGGGACGGTCACTCCGTACGTCGGCACTCTTTGAAGTGGAGTGCCGGAGAGTTCGCCGTGGGTCCGTCACCGCAGGGGACTCACGATGAAGCGCACTCTCGGCCCTGCCCAGGTTCTGCTGCTCCTGCTGCTACCGGCTGTTACGCTCGCCAACACATTAGGTAAGTTGCAACAGCTTGCTTACCCGGCACCCTGCCCGCGCCGAACCGACGGAGTTGTGGTCGCGCTGCGGCCAAGTTGTGCCATTTGCATCACAATGTTGCGGGTCGAGTGACGGTGTTTGGGTGCCGCCGCGGCCCGGCCGCTCCGGCTGCGGTGACGGGTCGGGGCAGATAAGGCCTGCGCTTCAGAGAAACTCAATCGGCGACCCTCCGCAGCAATCATCACGCTAAATCCAATCAGAAAATTGAATGAAAATAACGTCTCAGTTGGCTATGTTTATGTTGTTATTTGGGACTTGAGATAGCTACAACTTTGATTGATAAACAATAGCAAGCAACAACCGAGGCGTTTAGTTAGTGAAATAAATGTTAGCTAATTGACGGAACGCCTGATTATTGCTGACGAGTGACGCTGCTCTGGCATTCAAGACGTTATTAAGAGCATTTTGCTTCAGCCATGTTCATGCAATAGGTAGGTATAAGTATTTCTGTAACTTTTAGGTAATTTTGATACAATATTATAAAGTGGATGAAACAAAACTAGAACTCTCATTGATTTAGCCAAAAGTATAGGTACATAAGCACGTTGACTGTTGGATAATTGTACCTACTCTGAGCACCTCGCTACAAAAGGCAGACGCCCAGTCATGCATACTCTCCTGTCCATTCTCTCCTCAGTCCTCACCCTCTCTCGCTCTACACGCCGGCCACGTGGGGGCGTGGCGGTGGGTAGTGTATGCGTGGGTGTAGGTTCGTAATCCCGCCTGCGGCTGACGGGCAGAAAGAGCCGACTACCGAACCCGTCCAACCGCCAGCTGACGACCGGCCCGCTAGGAGAATAGAGCCTTCCTCCACCTGAATGGAGCTGAATGGAGAGTAGGTTTATAGCCGGTCGTAACTGACCGCTTGCACGGCACCTAACACCTGCTCTCTATCTCTTCCTCTCTCTCCCTCTCTCTCCTCATCCCTGTCTTTTGACTCTCTCTCTCTCTCTCTCTCTCTCTTTCTCTCTCTCTCTCTCTCTCTCTCTCTCTCTCTCTCTCTCTCTCTCTCTCTCTCTCTCTCTCTCTCTCTCTCTCTCTCTCTCTCTCTCTCTCTCTCTCTCTCTCTCTCTCTCTCTCTATCTCTTTCTTCTTTTCTATCACTTCCTTCATACCCACATTTGCATGCGACCGATCAGGACCAAACCCGGCAGCGCGTTCCATGTCGTCCTCACAGTGCCCCCAGCCGTGAGTATGAGTCATCAGAAGCCGTCCCGTTACTTCCAGGGAGGTCCCTCAGGCCCGGCCTCCCGCGTGGCAGCGTTGCCTTCAAATGCACTAGCTTTGTTGATCCTAAATTGGAAACACGAGAGCTCATGGTCGCTGGAAGACGATTGCAGTCAGAACGAGCTTTTTTCGCACGTCCGTTCAATGTAATCCAATATCGCAGATATTGTTTTTATGGCAGCTTATCTGAACTAATTACGTTGCCCTCCCCTGGAAGCGTGACCTGAGGACGCATGTCACGGCGCGGGGTCATTGAGGTCATCGGACGGAGCTGAGAGCGCCATTTGGGCCGAACGACCGACCGACCGATGCAGGGGGTGTCTGGGGGGGGGGGGGGGGGTCCGTCGGATATCCGGGACGACCCGAGTGGGGGTTGTGTTGAGACTCCCTTTGTCAGGAGTCACGGACGCCAATAATAGTTTGACTGGAAACGTGGTTCGCTATGAAGCTGAGGATATCATGCTCAAACAAATGCATCGATCATGATATAATCTGCGACGAGTCACTATCGTTTATGTTTCCAGGCGCATACATTTGGAAGTTAGAAACAAACTTTGTGTGTGAAATGTGACGATTACTGTCATGTGGCATCAGCGTTGCGTGTGACGGTCAATACTGTCCCATGACTGTCAGTGCCAAACTTTGTCAGTACTGTCCCGTGCCTATCAGTTATGTTCGATTTGATCACTGCATTGTCGGTACTTCCCTGTGCCTGTGTGCTGTGTCCACTGTCCAGCTGCTGGCAATGCTGTCTTGTTTCCCAAACTGCCCCCTCCAGGTCCGTAATAACGCCCCCGACGTCGGCTCCTTGAGCAGCTCATACAGTGTTTTCCGTGCGGCGCGACCTCGCAGTACAGGGAACCGTTCGTTCTCGACCGCCGCGCCGCTGACAGAAATTAAACCCGTTTGTCGTCGGCAGTCCTATATCAGCCACACATGGAGCCGAGCTCTCGTAACCAGTCGACGCCGACGGTCTCACTCGCATACTGCCGCGCTCAGAGGACGGTTTTATCATCGGGGCAAGCATTGGGCACGTAAACACGGCTACCAATCCAAAATTGCCTGACCATTTGAAAATACAGAAACAAAATATGATTGTAGCCGCCACGGAGTTTTGTTATCTCATTTAGTCCGTGGAGCTCAACTAAATCAAAAATGTTCCAGGGAGCTACGAAATGTACAAATTTATGCCTCCTTTATCCAGTAAATGCGTGAAAACCCTGCAGCATATATCACCACAATTATTTGTTATGCTTTACAACCCTCACCACAGCAGCGTTTGATCCATTCACACTCCAATCCTACCCCTACCACCTTAAGGCGTCTCCTGCTGCTGCCCACGACATGGGACACTGTGTCGGACAGGTGGCGGGTCGCCGTCGGCTGCTCCATCGCCTCTGTACCATAAAGCGCCGGCGACCAATCTGCGGATGGGTCGGTCGGCCGCGTGCCGTCTGTATGGTTAACAACAGTGAGTCTGTCGCTGTCCTTTATGTTAGTTATTCGTTTAGTACCATTCACTGAATCGCGCATCAAGCACAGTGTAATAGTGTAAATAGTTGGAGTCAGTGCTAGCCTATAAGTAGGCAAATCAATTTTGATGATAACTAAAAACAAACTGACCGTAATGATGAGAAATATTGCTTCTACTTACCATCGAGCACAAAAGCTTGATTAGATAGCGCGACTCTTCTTTAGTGCGTTTCCTAGATTAAATGATTCCATTGTTATTAAAAACAGCACAATTTACAATACCCCGCTTCTTCTTTGAAGGGTGCGTTATTTGAAAAGTAGATGTGTGTAGGTATAGCATCAATAGCATCAAACAGAGAGACCGCTATTAGGCAAAATGGCGCTATCGGAGCAGGCACGCGACAATCGGATTTGGAAAATGGCATGGCTCGAAAACGTTTTCTAGACGCGAGGGCGATCTAAATCTCGGTAATGCCACTACAGAATGGTAATGCTGGCCCTGCTTTTGTGATATTTTTTGTTAAATAATAAATGGCACCCCTCCACCCATGCAGCAAAACCTTTTCTCCGTTGTATTCACTTTGCATTAAACCTCTCAATCTTTTTTTCCGAACACCTAGGCTGATATAACTTTTATGACCTTGGCTGATACGACTGTTGCTCGACTATCGATACGAAAAACGCCAACTAGAACACCATTCTGATCCGTTGGCAACCGATAAAACAGCATTGCAAGCCGGGGCTGTTCTGCTTAAAAAGTTCTGACCAGCGTTCTATTTGCATCATGCTGCAGAAGGCAGACTCCTAACCGTCTTCTAATCAAAGGTATCTAAATTTATCATGCTGCCCACACGAATGTAATGGGCATGGCTGAAACTCGACCTGGTCCGGACCGTTTCCAGGAACGTGCAGCCTGGCCACCGGCACGTACCGTGAATTGTTTGGCGCGGACGAAGCCTCTTTTCGGGCAGCGGCAGCGGTCTATAATGGGTGGAGGCGTTCTGCAGCTTCACTGGTCCCGATCTGTTCCGCTCGGCGCGTCTCGAGCGTTACCGATATAGCTGGCGGGAGAGCCCCTCCCTTCCCTCCCCTGCGGCCGTCAGGCCGACGACTGTATCGGAAAGTGGAACCATCTCGCCTTATATCCTCTCAGCAGTGTTTTTCAGGGGATTCTGTGTGATGTAGTTTGCATAATATGACATTGCATAACAAATACCTAAAATGTGGATCACAATGCTTGGGAGTTGGTAGAGCACTTCATGGGCCGGATAAATCCGTTATCCACGGATAAATCCGCGGACCGGATAGGATTGGATTCTAAATTTGTTAAAAAAGAACGGATATGGGCGGGCCGGATTTGGGAATTGAAGGTTGAACCCGGATCAAAACGGATCAAAATTTTAACATTCAACATTGATGTTAAAAATTAACCTAATGTGTTAAGCGGCAGCAGAGGTTTGATTAAAGTAATAGGCATCATTTTATGACACTCACTTGTCACAAAACTTGTCTTCAAGTGGATAATGTATGCAATGTATGCATGGTTTTTGGAACCATGATGGTCTATGAGATGTATGGCTGTCTGGTCCCTTAGATTGAATTTGTTAGTCCAGTTTTGGGTGAAACCAGTTATTGGTGAAACGGATTATTACGGATATTTTTTGGAAGTTTGGCTGCAATACGGGCCATGGGTGGGCCGGATTCTGATATTCAAAGAAAGGCGGATAATGGGCGGATCTGGATATGACTTGCCGGATATGGGCCGGGCCGGATCCTAAAAAGCCTATCCGTGAAGTGCTCTAGGAGTTGGGATATTGTGGTGGAAACGATGATAATTGGTAGAGAGAATGAAACTCCTACGAACAGTGTGCCTGCAACTTACGAGTCAACATCCTTGAAGCCAATAACTTCCGCCGCAGATATTTTCGCCTGTCATTCTTAGATCTTTTTGGCATGCATGTGGCGGTTTGGCAGCTACTCTCAAATTTTACTGATCCTGTTCTTAGCCCCTGCTGCACAGGTTGTAAATTTGCCAGCTGTGTGTAAAGGAGAGAGACAAACTAGCCTGATACGGGTGTCGTGACTATCATCACACCCCATTAGCTCGGCTGGAAGAACTGGCTGGATTTCTGAGACGACTGACGGTGACAACCCAGTGAGATTCACTATGGCGCTCGCCATTGGCTTCCAACGAGAATAGTTTGGAGCTGCAACAGTATTGTTGCTACATGTATTTGTATTTGTATTTGTATTTATTTT